GGTGAGAAGGATCATGGGTGAACACGTCTGTGGGCTGTGCCCAAGGCGGTCGGCGCAGATTCCAAGTGGCCCCATTCTCCAGGCACCGGTGACTTGATGGAGTCTCAGTTGCGCAGAGACCACGGCCTGTCAGGGTGCCAGGAGAGGCCTGGAAAACAAACCACTCTGCCAAGGCCCTGTCCATTCTGCATACTCAGCGACGCTGATCCTGAATCACTGCTCTCTAGGGAGGCTAGCTGTGCCTAGAGCCTCCGAGCACAGATAGTAGGATCCGTAAATTTGTGCCTAAGGACATCTCACTTCTGACTTTTTATAGGTACTGGGGGTTGAACCCAGGTCTTCTCACAGCTACATCCCAGGCCACTTTTTATTTTTTTATTTTTATTTTTTTGGTACTGGGATTCAAACTCAGGGTCTTGTGCTTTCCAGGCAGGCACTTGTGCCATGAGCCACATCCCTGGCTGTTAATTCTTTTTTTTTTTTTTCTATCTTTTTCCTTTTTATCAGTACCGGAGATCAAACTCAGGACTGCCTGCTTGCAAGGCAGGCACTTATGCTGCTGAGCTAAATCCCCAGCCCCCTGGCTGTTAATTCTTAATTTTAACTTTTAAAAAAGTTTTTGAGACAGCAGCTCACTCTATAGCCCAGGATGCTCTCAAACTCACAGTGATCTTTCTGCCTCAGCCTCCCAAGTGCTAGAATGACAGGCATGAACCATCACACCCAAATTTTATTTTTGAGAAAATTATTTTTGATAGCAGGGATTAAACTCAACACTTCATGCTTGCCAGGCAGGTGCTTAGGCTGCTGAGCTAAATCCCCAGCCCCATGCCCAGAATTTTTAAAATTTTTGAGACAAGTCTCCCTGAATTACCAGGCTGGGCTTGACCTTGTGACCCTCCTACCTTAGCCTCTGATTGCTAGGATTGGACCAGGGATGTAGCTCAGGGACACAGTGCCTGCCTGGCACACACACACACACACACACACACACACACACACAGACTACTGGGATTAGAGTGTGCGCACCAGTGTGCCTAGGTCCTGGCACCTAGGCACCTGGAGAATGCCTTCAAAAAGTAAAAATGATTACTTAGAGCTGGGCATGGTGTAATCCTAGCACTTGGGGGCTGAGGCAGGAGGATCGTTTCATGTTTGAGACCAGCCTGAGATACAAAGTGAGTTCAAGGCAAGGGATTTAGCTCAGCGGCATAAACACCTGTCTTGCAAGCACAGGATCATGAGTTCAATCCCTGACACACACATGCACGCACGCACACACACACACACACACACACACACACACACACACACACAAAGGTGAGCTCAAGGCTAGCCTGAACTGTATAGTGAGACCCTATCTCAACAAGACAAAAAAACAACAAAACTGGGGCTGGGGATTTAGCTCATCGGCATAAGCACCTGCCTTGAAAGCAGGCAGTTGTGAGTTTGATCCCTGGTACTAATAAAAAAGAAAAAGACAAAAAAAAAAAAAAAAAAAAAAAAAAGCAAAGAAAAAGAAAATATATTGTTGCACCGGGTGTGGTAGCACATTTTTGTAATCCCAGCACTCAGGAGGCTGAAGCAGGAGGATCATTTCAGAACCAGACTGAGCTACAAAGTGAGCTCAAGGCCACCCTGAACTGCATAGCAAAACCGTGTCTCAAAAGACAAAAATAAATAAATGTTTCATTTTCAATAGAAATATACTATAAAAATAATTCATTGGGATTGAGCTATACCCCCAATCCCAATTTCTTTGTTAAGTAGAATTTTCTTTGGAAGAAAAGGGATTATGTTTAAACTTTGTAACTTACGAAAATTTCTGCATTTTATTTCATGTTCAGTAAAATCAGTTCAGTGGTAGAGTTCTTTGCCTTGCATGCACAAGGCCTTGGGCTCAGTGCCCAGCACCACGAGAAAAAGAAAATGAAAATTCATGAATCAGCCGGGCATGGTGGTACACACTTGTAGTCCCAGCGCTAGGGAGGCTGTGACAGGTGCATTGCTTTGCATGCAGGCCAGCACAAAGTGCCTGTGAGGCTGTGTCTCAAAAGCCAGTTACAAGGTGCACAGTGCCTGCTTGTAACATCAGCTGGCATGTGAGGCACCTGTGAGGTTTCTCATATTAACAGGAAGATGTAGAAAACACCCAGGGAAAATTCACATCACCCTTAGCCTGCTCTGCAGACATAACTACTGTTTTTGTTGTTGTTTTGCGTTTTGGAGACAGTCTCTCTATGCCGCACGGGCTGACATGGAACTCATGATTCTCCTGCCTGCCTTGGCCTCCCGAGTGCTGGGGTTACAGGTGTGGGTCACCACACCTGGCAGAAGGGCAGGGTTTTCACCACACACATAGCCAGCAGCAGCAGCAGTAGCAGCAGGGCTTCGAGCGCCTGGAGTCTGGCAGGCATGTAGGAGCTCTCGGGTGCCAGCGAGACTGGCTTGCAGTGAGACGCGGGAACTGCAGCGGCCTGGGCTTGGCCCCGGATGCGTGCAAAGCCAAATCAAAGCAAGCCCCGGGTTGGGGGGAGCCTTTTTGACTTGGTTTTGTTTTTGTATTTTGTGTCTTCTGGGGGGTAGGGAGGAAACCTACAGAAGATCTTTTTGGAAGATCTTTGGGTATACTTGCTGTTCAGTAAACAGGAAGTTATGAAACCAGCATAACATGCATGTTAAAGTTTTGGTGACTTTGTTTCTGTTCCACAATGGAATTATTATTTATGCAACTGAAATATAATAAGGGAGATATTTTTTCTTAAAAATGTGATTTGATTTTCATACTTGTATTAGTACTGGAGATAATTTTGTTTTCTTCATCCCTTCAGCCTATTTTTCAAATTTCGTGGCTTTTTAAAAATCTAGAGACAGGGTCAACAGGCTTGGTTGCCCCAGTAATTGCAGCTAACACTCTCAAACATTCTTGTTTTTTCCATTCCTTTTTAAAAGCTGGGTTTCCTGAGTAATAGATCCGAATATTAATCATCGTCCCTCCTGGACACTGACCGCCGCGGCCAACACCAACAGAACCTGAGGTCTCCAGGATCAGCTCGCTTATTACACACTCAACACTTGTGCTGCACAGGAGGTGTTCATCTTGCTAGGCATCCTTTAAAACCTCACTGGATACAAACAACGTGTGTTTACCACAGCACACAAACAGGGTATAATGACTACACACAGAGGAGGAAGTCCTGATCTTAGTTTTTCGCCAGTGGGAAAGAACCTCCTCCTGTGCACAGTACTAAAATGTGTCGCTGTGCATATATACTTTATCAAGGGAGTGGTACTGTTTTGTTGTTTTTTTGAAACAGGGTCTTGCTCTGTAGCCCAGGCTGGCCTCAAACTCATAGTAATGCTCCTGCCTTGGCTTCCTAGAAAGCTGGGGTAATGCAGCTTCCTTTTCTTCTGGGTTCTGGAAGAATCAAAAGCAGGGCCTGGCAGGCAGGGGGTCACACTCACTCTCCACTGAGCCCTGGGGGCCTGGCCCTGCCCATGCTGTGCTCCACTGTGGAGGCTTCCAGAAAGAGCCATTTGCACAGGACGGACCCAGGCCCCACACTGAGCTCCAGCTTGCTTTTTGTGAGACAGGGTCCAGGCTGCACGGCCCGTCTCGCTTGAATGCTTGGTTACAGTCCTATGGCCCCACACCTGGTTTAGGGTGTTTTCCTTTTAGAAAGTGACCCAAAAGAACCTGCAAACACACAACCTCTGTGCCACAGAGGATACATTCCACGAAGAGGCAGGTCAGGAGGAGGCAGCCCAGTTCCTTCAGGCACACGAGGGATCTGGGAGGGGCCTCCACCTGCAGAGTTCAAAGTTCACCAATCTTTCTTCAACTTCTATGCAGTTTTAGGTATCTTCTATTTCAGCGAGAAATTAAAAAATTAATGCATTTTTTTTGTCTGTTTGAGATTCGGTTTCATTAGCCTAGCCTCAAACCCCATCTATCTGCCTGCTTCAGCCTCCAGAGTGCTGGAGTTACAGGTATGCAGCACTACGCCTGGCCTGTGCAGTGTTCTGTTCTTCAACATTTAAAAACCGTTTAGTATGCAGCATGCATTGCGTATGTTGCGGAAGCTGGCACATGCACACACTGCACCTTGATTCTTTTTGTTTTCTCTTCCTCTTCAAAGCACTTCATGCCCTGTAAGGGTCAGATCACTTCCACTGAGTGTCAGTGCCTGCTCTGCAGTTAAGAGACAGAGACTGAGCCGCACTCAGACCTGAGCGGCCCAGCCTTCACACCGTGGTTATGGCCAGCTCGGGCGGCCTGGAGGAGAAAGGGCTCAGGCCAGCGGAAAGCAGCAAAGTGTGAAGACGCAGATCTCAGCAGACCCAGTGCCTTCTTTCCACCCCTTCTGAGCTTGATCCTGGCTGCTGGGTCAGGGTGAGGCCACATCAGTCAGTAGACCGATGCGGTGTCAACTCGCCCTAGATCTGGCATCCCAAAAACCCCCGCCTATGACCACACAAGGCTTTGGGGGACATCTGGACATACACCTTAACACACTCTCACCTAGAAAACTGTCCCCCAGATATTGCTATAGCTGGGAAGGGGGGTTCATGCCTGGAATTCCAGCACCCTGGAGGCTGAGGCAGGAGGGTCACAAACTGGTACCCAGCCCCTGACGCTTAGAACGCTTGTTTCCAAATAAACAGTAAGCTGGGTGTGGAGAGGCCCACCTGGAACCCCAGCACTCAGGAGGTTGAAGGAGTTGAATTGCTGTGAGTTCGAAGACACAGCAAGGTGCTGTCTCAAATCCCCCAAATCCAAAACAACACAACACAACAGAAAAAAGTCTGGGGACGAAGTTCAGCACAGAGCTCTCAGTTCAAGGCTCAGTACTAGACAGGCAGAGGCTGGGTCTCACAGCCTTCTGACCGCGCCCCAGCTTCTGGGGAGGTGGTGCTATGTGGACGCCTGACCTCCAGCCCAAGCCTGAGCCCAACCCCGAGTCCAACCCTGGGACCAGCACAACACATAGCCACACAGCTGTGAGCATAGACAGCCTTTAATGCACATGGCCCAGGCCCAGCCGGGAGCCTCAGTCATACTCTGAGAATCGGATGTGCTGGCTGGCTTGCTGAGTCTTCTCCAGTCTGATCTTCTCGGCCTTGGTAATTAGCTGCAGAGACAGAGAAAAATGAGGAGGCATAGGACAACCTAAAGCTGTTCAGCTATCAGGTGGAAAGAAACCCTGGCCCATGCTCCATCAGTCAGTTAGTCAACACTCATTCAGTGCTCACTCAGTCGATCAGCACTCAAGTCAGTCAGTCGCACTCCCCTCCACCAATCTCTGTTCAATTCCAAAGGAGCAAATAAAATGACAGGAAATGAAGAAAACCAATGAAAATGTCTCAAGTACCCCAAAACCTCCTTGGGAAGAAAGGTTAGAATATTATCTAGAGTAAATACAAATCTTTTTCCCATAGATATAGATTCTAATGAGCACTCATTTATACAGTTTTGATAAAAACCAGAAAAATCCCAATGTCCTAAGAGGTGAAGCTGAGTAGGAGGCTCTGGCTCTGGCTCTGGCAGGGAGCCGGGTCCCCCAAACCTCTCTCCTCTCCTTTCTCCTCCCCTTCAGGGATGCTCCCCTCTAACAGCTCTCCCTGAGATAACTTAAGGCTGGGCAAGTCAAGGTGGCCTTTGTCCTGGACTCCCCACCCCACTGGCTCATCTGTCGCACCCTGGCTCCTCCCTTTGCCTGCGGCCTCCCAGATTCAGATTCCTATCAGCAAACCAGGGAGCCAGCAGCACCGCCAGCTCCGAGCACAGGGTCTGCCTAGAAGGCAGCTCACACCTGAAAATCCAGCTATCCACAAGGCTGAGGCAGGAGGATCATGACTTAGAAACCCATGTGAGTAATTCAGTGAGGCCCTATCTGTAACACACAAAAAAAGGGGCTGGAATGCAGCTCAGTGAGAAGTCCGTGGGTTCAATCCCCAGAGCCCAGAAAACAAAACAAATAAAAACTATGAGGCCAGGGAAGTAGCTCAAGGATAGAGTACGTGCCTAGCATGTAAGGATCTGGGTCTAATTCTCAGCATAGTGATGGTGGTAGGGGAACACTAAAACATTTTCCAAAAATTAAAAGAATTAGCAAGCAAAGAGGTTAATCATGGCCTGCTCTCTTGAAGAGCTCTTTGCAGTGCTCCCCCGGGTGAGTTCTTGGCTGTTCACAATGAGGGCTGCCTAGTTGCTCCCTGAGTTCAATCTGTTTCTGCTTAACCAGCTGGGGTGATGCACTCCTGATAGCGCACAGGGAAGGGAAGGAAGCAGGGTAACTTGCCCACAGTAACAGAGCCGCTCAGATTATCAAGTTCCCAGGTAATGTTTATTTCCTTCACTCAAACTGCACTGTCAAAGGATGTGTCTTTCTAATAGATGAATGATTAATTCTCAGTTTTAAAAAAATGGGTACAGGGGGCTGGGGATTTAGCTCAGAGGCATAAGCGCCTGCCTTGCAAGCAGGCAGTCGTGATTTCAATCCCTGGTACCAATTTAAAAAAAAAAAAAAGGTAGAGACTGGGGATTTAGCTCAGCAGTGTTAAGTGCCTGCCTTGCATGCCCACAGTCGTAAATTCAATCCCCACTACCCCCCCCCCAAAAAAAGGGTAAAATTTAAAAGGAAACTTCATACCACAGGATAAGATTTTTGTTTTCATAAACAGCTTTCAATTATCATTCTTGATTAATGATTTTAACATCTCAATAATCTCAAACAGGGTTTGAAATTAACACCTCTGAGACCTGAGGCAGCTCTTAGGCCGGAAGGAGGACTCCCTGTCTGGGCAACCTCAGTCCCTATGCAAGGGAGCAAAGTTAACAAAGACCAGTAGGAGACTTCCCACGTCTTCTCACATTCCTGCAAAACACAGGCCACGGGAGGCCCAGGAAAATCACTCCATTTTAAAAAAAAGTATTCCAACAATGAGTCCAGAATATGTGACACATGACTTTCAAACATAAAATGATGTGCATAATTCTTTTTCTCAGAACTTTAAAGTACATACAATTCTAAACTTTGATGATGGGAATTACGGTTACTGTGTACCCTATATTTTTTTTTTTTTTTTTTTTTGGTGGCCCGTACGGGGAACGAAGTGTACCCTATATTGTTGTAAGCACTGTACACTACACTAACCTTTATAAGAATACTAATTTATTTCAAAAAGATAAGCTAATAATGAATTTCAGGGCCATAATATTAAAATTACTGAAAGAGAAGCTTGCTTTAAATTATTGCAAAATGGCTTAAATTACTTGATGACTATCCTAGAGAAAAAGGAACAAAGGCTATCACTGCTACAGGAACCTTATGCATGAAAGCTTCTGTGAAAACTCCGGTCTTTAAAAACTGCATTTTAACTACTCTGTGGTTTTTATCATTAAAGAAATCATTCTACAATCTTTTATCTCCATACTACAAAAACAGCAGCCCAAAATAGGGACTGAAAATTTAAGATGTTACTGCTGAAAAAGAAAGGAAAAACAGGAAAAATTTAAATTATAATTATGCAGCTTTGTGGGAAAATGAATTTAATTTCATGCTTTTTGGGGGGAGGGTGAAACAAACTCATGACCGTGTGCTTGCAAGGCAGGCACTTATGCCACTGAGCTAAATCTTTGTCAATTTCATGTATTTATAAATCTTGGGCCATTTCATATATTTTTAAACCAAGCAGAATGGGTTATCTCCTCCCTAAAGCACAGTACTCTGTAACAGCAAAACCAATTTTATTTTATGGCCATCTATTATTGATTACAAAAGATACTCAACCTCCTAAAAAATTTAGGGCACAAAAGCTACAGCCAAACTAATTACCTTTTCGGTGCCTCTCTTCTTTTCCCGAGGCTGATTGAGCTTGGCCTGTCTATCTACCAGGATCTTCTGCCAGTATCTCTGCTCATGATCACCTTCAAAACAAACAAAGTGCTAATCACTGAATATAAGGGTGCATATGCAAAAGATTCAGATCTCAAAAATGTAGCTAAAATAGTCAAAGAAAAAAATTCGAGGTTCCGTTAGTTACAGTCAGAAAATATAAAACAATTACCCACAACAATGATTGTTAGAAAGGAAAAAGAAATTTCTGTGGGGTTTTACCGGAAAGGACTTCGAGTTTCCAGCTGTACTTCTTTTTAATCTCGGTGTGGCCATTCATGACTGCCTGGGCCGCCTCTGGGGTTTTAAACCTAACGTGACATTCTGTGTCTCCTTCTAGCAGATCAACATACACAACTTCTGAGATTGCTGCCAGCATATCCTGCATTGAGGGGAAGTATTAAGACTGAAAACCAGTGTTCCATAAAAATCTACACTTATGGTCCTGTGACAACGCTTTATATCAGTAAGAGACTATGTAAAGTGCCTATCATGTTAACTATCTCTTCTTTTTTTTAAACTAACTTCTTAAAATACACAAAATGTTCTAGGAAGTAGATTCAGATGGAAAGAGAACTAATTTAACATTAGCTGTCCCACAATTTTCTTTCTTTGATTTCCTTCAACTGTATCCTTGGAATATGAACAAGAACGGGAGTATTCTACTGAGGAAGGCAGACACAGCCCTCCCCCTTCCACCTGGCTGTGGTTAGCGCTGGAGGAAGTTAAAAAAAAAAACAGGATTTTTGGAGTGTGTTTTCCCTCACCTACAGGACATTACTTACCATTTAAAATGTGTAACAATCATTCAACTTTTTATATCAACTCATGAAAAACGGGTTTCACTGAATCTACAAAGACCCTAGGGATTTTGAGTAGGTCCCACTGGGACACAGCTCAAGAGCTCTTAGTTTTAGATACCAAAGTAAGCTCTTCTAAACCAGTGGTGGTCACCCAGCAAGGGAAGAACTTTACCTAGGAGGCCTGCTGTGAGGGCAAATGAACTAGATTCTTGCATTCTTAATGATTTCTCACAGCAGGTTCCACACAATGCATTTATGCAGGAATGTTACACTAACTCTTAGCTCATTAACTTGCATCTGGATTGCTGAAGGAATGCAGTTCATGGAGATTTCCGATTGGGAAAAGGGGGGCTTATCTTCTGTCCCTTTAGTTTTAACACAGCTTCTTTTTTTTAAAACCCAACTTTTAAAAGACACAACTAAATATTGTTTCTAAATTTTTGAGTTGTACAAAGAACTGAGCAGTATCTGGAAACATTTCATCCTAGAGTAAAACCATTTATTAGAAACTACTAACTAAATGTGGGTAACTACTAACTTGAGGAATGCAGTTGTTTTGTAATTAGGATAATGATAATAATTTGTAATTAATTACCACATAAATAACAAAAGATGATACTGTAAAAATCTGTGAGTCTACAGAGGCCAAAACTGACTTTACTTATGTCTGCACTTACCACACTGTCTACCACAAAACAACGCAACAGGTAAAGGTTTGCTGACTCAGTTGAAAAAGAGAGGGAAGACATCTGTCAATTATTGTTGCCTCATTTTTTATTAGTACTCAATTTAGATAGAGAACAAGAAAAGTAATCTGCACTAAGTTGATGAAATTTCAATGCTCATTCCTAACGAAAGTTTTATAATTGATTTTTCAGACTAAGTAGAGTACTACAATTCAAAAGATACTAAATATCCATTATAATGTCAAGCTAATCTCCTGATTTAAACCCTTATAATTTAAAACCCTTATAATGACAAATTAGTCTGGTAATCACATGGGCAAGTCACAGACACTACTAACTAGCATCATAGCTCAGTTTTTGTTCCAGCAAAATGTAACTACTAACTTGATGAATGCAGTTGTTTTGTGAATAAACAATCTGCAACTGATATGATTACTACTTAAATATTGTCATCTTTTTGGTACTGGGGACTATACTCACACCTTTGCAATTGCTAAGGACTTTTTCATAGCCTTCACATTTTTTTAGCTTACTATGTCAAATTCTGTATTGCTGTCATATCCTAAAATGCAGGCAAGTAAGAGAATTTGGGATTGGCCAAATTCCTCATTAATAGGGAACAAGAAGAAATTGATGTCTTACTGACAGCTACAGGATTTTTTTTTTTGTCTTTTTCCTTTTTATTGGTACTGGGAATTGAACTCATGACTGCCTGCTTTCAAGGCAGGCGCTTATGCTGCTGAGCTAAATCCCCAGCCCCTAGCTACAGGATTTTTATAAGTTTGCAGATAACACTTAGCGATCAATGTTGTGTGAAAAACTATCTGAATTTTTTTTAAGTTACGAGTCTTACTGAATTTCACTATAAATATATTTTTTAATGTTTGGGTGTTGGGGCTGGGGATTTAGCTCAGCAGCATAAGTACCTGCCTTGTAAGCAGGCGGTTGTGAGTTTGATCCCCGGTACCGGAAAAAAAAAAGAAAAAAAAAAAAGTTTGGGTGTTATGGAACATTTTGTATAGTTTAAGAATAAAGAATCTCACCTAAATGAGTAATGGGGTAAGTAAAAGTATTGTCAACACAGGAATGCATTTTCATCAGTAAGAGAGACGTATAATTCTATGTTGCTATAAAAGGGTATAAAGATAAACTTTATAGTGAAAAAGATAGTAAAGATTAATATGGGACACTCCTGTAATCCCAGCAATCAGGCTGCAACAACCTAGGGCAAAGTGAGCCCAAGGCCAGCCTGAACTGCACAGTGAGACCCTGTCTCAAAGAAAAAAAAATTTTAGGTTTCTATAGAACTATGATTTATTTGCACATGCATATAAAATTTTTGTTTTTAAAAAATGTAGTCTAACACTTTTCAAAGTTGTTTGATACTTTTAAACAATTAGCATGGATGAAACAAACTTCATTGAAAATTTAAAAAAAAAATTAAGACTACTTCCTACAAAAATTCCTGTATTTCTTTCAGGAAACAGTTCAATTCTCACTCATCAACAGAAAAATTAAGTGAAAAACAAGCATACTCTTTAAAATTTCTTAATAGCAGTTTTCACTATTTATTTTAAGGCAATAATCATTTAGAAATCTATTGAAAGCTAACAACAGTACGAGGCAGGAAGATCACATGAGTTTGTGACCATCCTGGGTTCCATACTGGGTTCAAGGCCAGCATGAACTACATAGTGAGACCCTGTTAAAAAAAACAAAAACAAGAAAGAAAGCCAAGATTATTAATACAAGTCAATAAATGATCTGGTTTGCTTCAAATCCAGAAAATACTTGATTACAATTTTAAAAGAATTTCAGATCAACTGTTAATGTTGATCAATGGTGCCAAGTATTTTTCTGAACACTATTTTCCTTGAAAACTAAAGAAAAAGCCTTCCATAAACTGTTGGGCAAGCACTTTTGTATTATCTGTACTTATAATTAGAAGGTCTGCTGAGTATTTCCCCATCTAAATGCACCGCAGTTAATCTCAAATGATACAAGCGGACTAAGCACAAGAATCTATGTCCTGGAAAACAAGCATTTAAACTGTGCTCACTGCTGTTAGGCTCTGTGAAGATTTTCTCTTTAGGTTTTGCTTCAACTTAAAGTACACATTTTAACTTGATTTTCTTTTTTTAAAATTTGTTTTCTTATATTCAAAATATTTTCATGAAGGCAAAATAAAAGGAGAGAGACTAATTAAACACACAGGGAGCTCAGCAGGCAGCTACTGCCTAATGTCACATGCCTGGGTTCCAGCCCCCCTCACCCCCAGCAATGCCAGAAAAAAAATGACGAGGAAAAAAGTGTTACCCGAACTTGCTTCCTGCCAGGCAGCGGCTCTGGGCTACTGATTTTCAGGATGACTCCACTCACGAACTGTGGCCCTGGCGGGCTTACCTTCTCTTGAGAATGGCGCTCTGGACCACTGGCTGTGGATTAGAAAGGGAAGGGCAGAAGTGAATCTCCTCACCCAACTGTTCAGCGCACCTCGGAGCCCTGCTTGGCAGCAGCAAGAGGCTTGCACTCTGATGCGAGTCATTTACCTGAAGTGTAATTCTAAAACTAATAATGAAGAAGGCTGTCACAGCCCACTGCTTATTTTACTGACCATGGAATAAAATGCAAAAGTTTTCGTAAGTTCTAATGTTTAAACATGCTCTATTTTCTCCCAAAGAAAATTCTACTTAATAATAAAGAAATAGCGGCTGGGATGTGGCTGAGTGATAAAATGCTTGCCTTGCCTGTGCGAGGTCCCAGGTTTGATCCCCAGCACCACAAAAAACAAAACAAAACAGAACAAAACAACCACCCGAACAAACAAAAACCACACAAGTATTAAGAATATTATAAATGTTACTTGTTCAAGTGTGAAGACTGTTTTACATAAAACTTTAAGATGCAAAAAAAAATTTAAGATGCATCTAATTATGAAGAATTCATAAAAATCTTGTTCTAATTTGTTGCTACTTGTGATTCATGTTATGGAATGAAATTATAGGTGACCAACGGCAGTCTTTATTTCTACTAAACAGAAACTCAGAATTAAATCTAATAATGAAAACAGTAGGGGAACACGCATGTTTCTCAAAAAGCTGGTGCTTAGAAGGAGCTCTTCAGGGCTGGGGATGCAGCTCTGCAGCACGCCTGCCTCGCTATCACAAGGCCCTGAGTTCAATTCCATGTACCGCAAACCAAAAACCCTTTATAAAAGATAGAACACTTCAGCAGAGCCGCCAGACACTGCACCCTCCCCTGCAGAGTTCCAGGTTCCCTCGCAGGGTCTTCACCTTTGTCACTGTTCACTGCAGCCCAAGAAGGCATGCCACCATCTGTTTTCATCTCCGATTCTGATTTTATTTGGGATATTGTCTTTTTTAAAGAAGCCATGCTGGCTTTCTGTAGTGCCAAATACTCTTTTTTCAAATCCATCCATTCGTTCCTGTAAGGCAAAAAATAACCTACTGAAACACTGACACAGACGATGAGCTAAAAATAGGCAAATTATATATATACATTCCCCAAGCCGCCCAGAGCTTCTGCCAACTTTCTTCTTTCCTACTACTCCACGCCCCAATTACTGGAGTCATAATCCCATCCAGGGACAGGTGAGGAGAGTTCCTCTGGCCTCTGGTACAGGTTAATGCTTCACAGTTCCCACTGATTTCCTGAGTGTGCTTTCAATATTTTAATTAATAAAAGTGAAATGCTAGACTTAATTCCTTAATTAACTAGCAACACTTACTAAATGGTCATGAGAGATTAAGATTCAAGATTATTTGTTAAACTGCTTCCAATTGGAGAGACAGCATTCCTTAGTATTTACATGAAAAGGAATTTCAATGAAGAAAAAAACACCCCATGGAAGCAATTTCTCTATTTACATACATTTAACATCGAGCTGTTTCTTCAAACAGCTCAGCCTCTCCAGATACAAACACAATGAAGCTCTGGCCCGGTGGGGGCTCGCATTGTCACCCTAATCTGTGCCATCAAACAAGCAGAGAGGGGACTTTTTTTTTTTCAGAGAGGATATCTTGTGGTAATGGTTTTAGCTGTTAACATTGACATCTGTATACTTCAAAAAAAAAAAAAAAAGTATCCAAACCCACCCAGGATCCAACTTTCCCTGAGAGCTAACACATTAAAATAACAAAAGGCCCTTGTAATGATTCTAAGAGATAAAAAGGCAAAAGGAATTCGGGAGTTAAGAATAGTATAAATAGAAGTGCCTGAGGTCCTTGCTCGGATCCTGGAGGCTGCGCGGACTCTGCTTGACCTGCCTGACAGTCGGGGAAGGAGAAAGGAGTAAGGGCCACCTCTGCGCTGCGGCAGAAGGGACTGACCGGCGCCTTTGTAAGCTGGGAGTCAGGGCCACCTGGGGAAGGACTAAAGGGCCACTGCCAGGCTGGGCAGCAGAGGGACCTGACCTGAGGATCACGGCAGCCCGAGCAGTGAGCTCCCTTCCACTCTAACGTGGAGGCACTTTCTGGCCTTGCGACAACAGTAAGTGCTTCCATGTTTTAGTAGAAGTGGGTTCAGCTTCCGGGGCCAGCGGACTGCCACCTCTAGCTCGGCCGAGGGGCCCCCTTTGCTTTAACATGGGGGTACCTGCTGTGCAAAGGAAAGTAAGTGCTTCCATGTTTGAGTGGAGGTGTCTCCCGAGCAGCACGACCTCCGCACCACTCGCGCTCCCCGCGCCCGGGCTTCCCACCACTTAAACGTGGACGTACTTGCTTTGGAAGCGAGAAAGTAAGTGCTTCCATGTTTCGGTGATGGTAAGTCTCCCTCCCGCGAGCGCCGCGGGCGGCCGGGGCGCACTTCCGGGCCCCCCCACTCCGACATGGGGCACTTGCTGCGGCGTGACTCAAATAAGTGCTTCCATGTTTGAGCGCGGTGGCCCCGGCGGCTTCGGAGGGGACCACCGCGCACGGCCCGGGCCGCCACTGTTGCTAGTGTGCAACTCTGCTGCGTGCACCCTGGAATTGCACTTTAGCAATGGTGACGGCCCGCGGCCGCCTCGCCGTCCCGCTCTACTCACTTGGACAGGACCCGCAGCGGTATGACTTCCTCCCCCATCCTGTGCCTCTCCTTGTGTTTCTTCTTGTGCTTCCTCTTGGATTTGAGCAGGGAACCTTCCTTCGTGTCTCCAGCGTTTTCCTCTTCTGTAGAGAACCCTAAATCTGGAGAAGGCCGAGACCCAGTTACGTTTGGGGACCGGGGTAAATGGCGAGCGTGGCCCAGTCCCGACTCTGGGCTCGGTTAGTACCTCTGTTCTCTTTGGGGACCTCGGGAGCCTCTTTCTTCACATCTTTCGGGGCCGTTTTCTTGACCTTTGTCTTGGGTGCCAGGCGCTCCGCGTCCGCCGAGCCGGTCCTCCTCTTCTTGGCAGGCCTGCCCTCGGGGAAGCTGGACACCTCCGCGCGGTCCCGCTTCTTCTTTTTTTTGGTCTGCTTTTGGGGTTCGGCACCTTCTGGCTCAGACCCCTCTGAGCCCGTCCTGGACCTTTTCACTTTACAGACCCCAACGCCGCTTGTGTCCATGTTCTCCTCCTTCTCCGGCACACTGTCTTCCTTTTTCACTCGCCCTTTCTTCTTTTTTTTCTTTTTCTTCTCCTCTGTAGCAACAGAAATGTCAGCTAGTTTTTGTACTTTCATCTCTGCAAGTTAACAGCTCTTCCAGTGCCGGGGTACTCACCAACCACTCTTAAGCTGGGAATGGGCTTGTTTTTTACTGTCTTGGGAAATATGCCAGGTTTTCTTGGTGCTTCTTCTGGTGGGTTGTTAAGAAACTGCAACAATAGGAAATTGTATGTATACTAATTTTTGCCTTTTCCCCCCACTAGGTTCAAGGACCTACCTCAATAGCTTTTGCAGCTTGTTCTTTTGTTTCAAATTCCACGAAGGCGAATCCCTTTGGATCTCCCGTAGACTTGTAATGTGGTATGCTTATATAGACAACATTGCCACATTTCCCAAATACCCTTTCTATCCAGCTGTGATTCACATTTTTAGGAAGTAATTCCTGTAGCAAATAAAAAGCAATCTTAGAACTACGGCTTTCACTATATGCCTATGGTTTACCCCCAAAATGACAATAAATATTTATTTACCTTTACTATTTGGTGTGTCAGTTTAATTTGGGGCTTGGGCTCTGGGGGTAAGGTGTCACTTACCACATACACAGTGCGCTCGTCCTCATCTTTTGGTCTTTCACCCAGAGGCTTTTTTCTTCTGATTCTGGTGCCCTCTAAGTCCAACTTTATTTAGATAATGTATAAGTTAGTGAGAATGTAGACAAGAATTTGGGGTTTTGTTAAATACTAATTAAACAGTAAAGTTACCTCAACAACAGCTGAGCTTTTCAATGCTCTGGCTATTAACTTTCCATCAGTAGTCAGCTTTTTCATTTTGTTAAAGGACACCAGAAGGGAGATATCAACATCTAAAAATGAAAAAGTTAACAAGTTGGGCAAATTCAAATAGGTGGGTTCTAATCTTCTAAAACCCCAGCACTTGCTAGTGCACCCCCCCCCATTATCTGTAAAACATATAGAACAGGAGGTTGGGGACAGATGAAAGTTCATTGGTTGACATGGCTACTTTGTGTTCCTCATGACAGGCACAGGCTAGCTAATCCTACAAGATGTATATTATGAAATTAACTTCAACATGAATCTTGGGGGGGGAGTGCATTGCACACATGAAAAGAGTGACAGACACTACTTCAGTACAAAGTGTAAGCTTCAAGGTAAACATCCAGAAGTGCATTTTTTACAGACTTACATCCATCCCTAGATTTCTCTATTTGTTCTCGAAGAAATCTGTCCTTGTGAAGATTTGCATCCCCAAACCAGAAGTCTACTTGCTTGGCAATATCTGCGAGCACCTGCTTAACTCTGGAGCGTTTTTTCTTTTCCACTTCCTTCTTCTCAGTGCTTTCTTCCATGGTTGGATTTCCACCGTCAGCTTCCATTCCTGAGGTAGACAAAATGTGGACAGGCCACCGACAGTCACAGATACCTGATGCTGGCTGCACAGACAGGGACCCTGTCCAAGGCGAATGCCTCCTGTGGCCCTTGAGTGTTTTCTGCCTTTTAAACTCCACAACCAGATTGTCACAGGGTAGATAACTCAGGACTCGGTAAAATGGAATTGTATAAGATGCAGACTTTCTCTCAGACTCACATGGTATTAATGTTAACAGTTTTTAGGCTCCCAAATAAAGTGATCTTGGGATTTTCACTTTAAAAAGTTCTATCCCTTTTTAGAAGGGATAGAACTGGCTGTTTTTCCTTTTTTCTCTTGGTACTGGGAATCAATCTCACGACCTCATATACTTCTCAGGCAAGCACTTACACCACTGAGCTAGCCCCCAGCCCTGGCTGTTTTTATTTCCAAGTGGATAGCTCAGGCTTCCTCAAGTTGCTGACTGTCACTACCATGAGGGATCGATCCTTCCACAATCAAGATTTATAAATGTATATTTCTACTGGAACCTTAGCATGCATGTCTTCTGTCTTATTTTCTCCCTAGCATGTATCACCTTCTAATGTCTCTATGCAATTTGGTTCATTCTTTTCTCTAGATTCAAGCTCAGCGGAATCAGCAGGATGTAGTGATGCAACCTGTCACCCCAGCATGTGGGGCCTCTTGGGAGGCTGCCACTGTGTAAGTGCTGAAGCCCACTCTGGGCAACTCAGTGTCTTGAAAGAAGAAAACAAGCCCCGTGCCAGGGAGAGGCCTCCCTGCAAGGGCCTGGCAGCCTGAGCTCTCACCTAGGGCCATACAGGGCTGCTGCGGGCGGGGTGAGGGAGCCAGGCAGCACCAGCCAATGCTCACATGACAGGAAACCACAGGTACACCCTGTGCTCATACTGGAAGATGTCAGTTGTCACGTAGCAGGGCACAGTGACGCTGCCGCAGCACCACTGCCCACTGGCCTCTCAGCAGCACGGGGGTCACAGGCTTCCCATTGGGAGTGCGTATGTGTGCACACCAGCTGTGAAACACAACCGTGTACAATATACTCATAACCACGAGTTTGGGCTCCAATCTTAAGCCAGCCAGAGTGACATGACAGCCCAAGGCTACACCCCTCATACTCTCCAGAATGAGACACACTGCATTCCTGGTGGCCATGCAGCCTGCCATACCCACCGGCACTGGCAGAGGAAATACCCTTTCAGGACCCTCCTGCCTTGGGCTGAGTTCTGATTTAAAGGAAGAACTTATCTTTCTCAGACTTTCTTTCCTGAGCTCCTCACACATTTACAGCCCCAAGGAAACACAGGCCAACAGAAGCAGACAGGCAGATATTTTGCAGCTTGTAGATAAGCATCACAACCCCAGTTCTCTGGGCCCTGGAATGGGCTACCAAATGGCACTCAGGGTGTGTGCCTGTGTGTGCCTCCCTCCAAGCCCTCGGTGAGCCTAGGCTTCCATTGGGGCACAGAGAACCGAGGGACTGGGGCATGTGAGTGTCAGCACTGCCTGCCAAGGCTTGGCACTGTGCCTCTCCAGGTACCTGGCTCTAGCTTGGCAGCTTCCCAGGACACAACCTCATCTGCTCTTAGCCTATGCCTTCCAGGACTCAAAGCTCTACCTGACCTCACCACTTGCCAGTCAGAGGACATCTCAGCCTTAACAAGAGAAAAGCAGACCAACCATCCTTCAGTCTCCTCACCCCAGAAACAACTACGTAATTGCTGAGGGCAGAAGCTGAAGGTCACCTGAATGCCTCTTTTCCTCTCGCTCCACTCAACTGTCAGGATTTCTATTGGTTCTACTTTGTAAATCCTCTGGACCAGTCCTCATCACCACACCACAGCCACCCGGTCCAAGCGCAATGGAGCCCATCTCACCTGACGAGCTACACCTTCTTCCTTACCTTGGTTTTTTGAGACAGGGTCTTGGTATGTATTTCAGGCTGGCCTCGTACTATATAGCTGAGGCTGGCCTTGAACTTGTGGCCACCCTCCTACCTCAGCCTCCCCAAAAGATTACAGGCATGATCCACTATACCCAGCTCAGTTGGAATATTGAAATGTAAATCAGCCCAACAGGATCCTTTGCACAAACCCCTCCAAAGATTTCTCATTACATTCAGAATAAAGCTCCAAGACCTTACAGTGGCTTATGAGGCACTCCAGGAGCTGGCACGGGACTGCCCCTCCAGCTGCATCCCCCACAGTCCTTTGCAGCAAGCTCACACCAACCTTAACACATCCTTGCTAGGCTCCCCAGGGCACCGAGCCATTTGCACTCCCAGGCCAGGTCCTCCTCCTGTGACTGCCCCACCTCTGTACAGATTATACCCTGTGTACCACCTGCGAACATCACTTTCTCAAAGAGGCTTCTTCTTTCATCAAATCTACAAAAGCTCCCTGTCTGACAGTCTGAACCCTCCTGCCCCTCAGCCTCTGTTGTTTTAACGTCTTATATTGCCTTACTACTGCCTGGAATTGTAATTTTATCATCTACCTACTTCATTAGAATGTGAGCTCTGTAAGGGCAGAGACTTTTTAACTTGATAACTACTAGTATCTGTTGAATAATCAAAGAATTATATTTAAAACTCCTGTACCTTAGCACACACAAGAGGAGGAAAAAAGGGCCTGTAAAGTGTTAACCATCTCAAATCTCTTGCAAGATGAGTAAGATACAGACACAGGCTGTGATTATCGCCAGGCCAGGCTCCAAGGCTGGCTGTAAATGATAAAGGGCAGGCTACCTGCTCTGCAACTCCTTCCTTGTCAAAGCTCAGCATCTATGGAGACGGAGCCAGGGAGGGAACCTCATAAAGCCCTAATTCTGCCAGAACCCAGACCTTTCGTGGCATTCTTGTCTCAGCCCAGAGATTTATTTCCCTCAAGAATTATTTTTGTGGCTTGGAGTATTTCGGTTCAGAATGATGTAACCTGGATAGAAAAATATGGATTAAACAGAAAGCAGCAGAGGTATGGAACAATTTAGCTTCCGGACACAATGGCTACATAAAAGTAAGAGGCAACAGGAAATACTTCTGTTAGTCTCCATCCTCAGCATTTGCAGTTTCTCAAGATCCTGTGATAACAGGTATTCTATTGTCATTCCACACATTCCAATTCCAGTTTACTATCTTTCCTACCCAGGCCTGTGCTTGCTACTAAGCTCACAATGTTTAAGGTCGCTGAATTCTAGCAAGCTACCGGCACCAGCTATTCATTAGCTGTGTGGATTTTGAGCAAGTCACCCTCTCTCTCTATGGTCCATAAAGTGTGCATTAAAAATCATACGTATAAATAGGGTTGTTGTGAGGATTAATCAAAGAAATGGGCAAGCACTTACAGTTGGTGCCATACAGAACTCCATAAGTTACTATATTATTACTTAGCAACCCGTCACTAACTATGAAATGGTTGTCATCTTGTCAGTGTTTCCCAAACTACTGTCACTGGAATATGGTAACAGTTTATAAACCATCCTAGAAGCTATCCACCTTTATAGATGTCTAAGTGTAACAAGTTTAGACCAATCCGCAGGTATATGCAAGTGGAATATTTTATTTCTTACAACTGCCTGTGAATCTAAAATTGTTTCCTCCTCCCTCCAGAATATCCTAGCACACTGAAGGCTGAGGCAGGATTACCATGAGGTTGAAGCCAGCCTGGGCTACCTAGTGAATTTAAGGCCAGCCTGAACTACACAATGAGGCACTCTCAAAAAACAAAACAAAAACAATAAACAGTGGCAAAGTTTTCTTGAAAAAGTAAAAGTGAAGAGCAAGAGAGAAACTTGCTCTGCAGAACAAGCTTGGGGCAAGTAAAAGAGAAAAAAGCAAGATAAAAAAAAGAACACTAGCCTAGGGCTGGGGGTTTAGCTCAGTAGCGTAAGTGCCTGCTTGCCAAACGCAGAGTCAATCCCCCGTACCAAAACACAAACAAAACAAAACAAAACCCACAAAAACAAAAAACAAAAAATAAAACACCCTGGAGAAAGCAAGGTGAGTTATCACAAGGAAGACCACAATAGTCTAAAATTATCAAATTAAAAACATATTTAAAAACAAAAACGTCAGGTTTTGTGATGATAATGTCAAAACATGCAACATGAGAAATTCCTCACACTTTTGGTTACATAATATGTATTGAGAAACCATACTGTTAAACAAACTAGTACTATCTAACTAGTTTTTAAACAGTTTGCACAGAGAATAAAAGTTACTGTGTAACACTGTCAGTTACTTTACATATACTGTTTTAAATCCTTACAATCCTACTATTTAGTTTCTTCTATCTTAACAAAAGCTCAAAGGTTAAACCAGGGGCAATAACTAGCCAGGTAAGCCAGCCTCTACCGTCCCACCTCATACTGCACCTCTAGGGGCCTCCAGTGATTTGTTACCATGCCGGCTGCAGTGTTGTTTCCTTTAGGTAGCACTGGAGATTGAATTCTAGGCCTTCACATTGGGCTCCATCTGCACCCTATTCTTACTTTTAATATTGAAATGGTCAAAGTTGCTCAGCTATCTCCTGCCTCAGCCTCCCAGAATCCAGGGATTACAGATATGCACCAAGGTCAGTTCTGACCCAAAATTCTTAAGTGGAAGTCCATGACTTCAAATTGAACTGCTTATGAGTTCCATGAAACTTAAAAGATATATTTTAATGAAGTAGCAGAGTTGTGTGTGGTGTGACACATGCCTGAAATCCTAACTACTTGGTAGGCTGAGGTAGTAGGATGGCAAATTTAAGGTCAGCCTTGATAATTTAGGAAAACTCAGTCTTAAAATATAAAAAAGGGTTGGAGTTGTAGCTCACTAGTATAGGGCTCAACTAACATGTGCAAGGCCCTGGATTTAATCTCCAATACTGCAATCAATCAACTCATAAGAAAAGATGAAATCATAATGCCTGTTTGAATATAAAATGAATACATAGTAAAGATTTTATTACATAATTAATGAGGAAAACTGTTAAGTGCTACAAACCAATTCAAAGAATTTAAAAGGCACACACATAAAATGTTAAAAAATTGTATGCACATTTCAAAAAGAGTAGGGTGTTTTTTCAACAGAAGGTGTCACCTTTGTATGCCGAACTCTTAAGGATCGCAGAAAACCCACTATACTGCTGGCCCTTGGAGAAGAAACTAAAGATGCATGTGCAGCAATCTCAGGGACCAAGGTTACCGCAGCAACAGTTCACTGCACTAATAAATTTCTGGAAGCTCATGGCCACCACTCTGAGCGCCTCTTGTAATTGTAGAGGCCAAAGATAACTTGCATTAATCTCGTGATGTCTCAATAACTTTATTATTAAAATATTTAAACAAGTTTTACTTTTCCTAAGTACTTTTTTTGGCATTCTGTGTGTAAACACACACACACACACACACACACACACACACATATACACAAACAGGTAATGATAAAATTTGAAATGGATGTTAATAGATAGTGATGAAGGTAATAATTACATCTGCCATGGGCAAACCTAATTCCCACTTTCATGGTTTTCTACGAATTACAGTTGTGCCAGGCATGGTGGCATACACCTGTAATCCCTGTATTCAGGAAGCTGAGGCATGAGGATCACTTTGTGTTCGAGGCTAGCCTGGGCTCCATAAGTTTGAGGCTGGCCTACACTACCTACACAGTTGTAAAATTGCTACACAATGAAAGATACAGGTAACCCAGAAGAGTAAGCCACATAGGACATTAATTTTTTTTTTTTTCCTTTTCTTTTTGGTCTTTTTGAGACAGGGTCTCTCTATGCAGTTCAGGGTGGCCTTGAGCTCACTTTGTAGCCCAGGCTGGTCTGGAACTTGCAACGATCCTCCTGCCTCAACCTCCCAAGTGCTGGGATTACAGTTGTACGGCCTGGCTAAGACATTAATTTTTTTAAAGTCACAAGTGTTCCTTACAAAATTATATGCAGGATGTTTTATTAGATGCACATTTTGTAAGATGCACATTTTCCTAGGACGTTCAGCTGCAAAATTTTTTTTAGGCTTTCACAAAAAAAAAAAAAAAAAAAACCCCAACCAAAAACAAAAGGTTGAGAACCACAGCAAACCGTTCCTGACAAGGAACACTCAGTAGCCAGTGTCCGCGGGAATGACTCTGGAGGGCACGCTGCCGGATTAACCCTACTCAGTTTTCAAGGCCCAGAATCTTCTCTAATTCATTGCCTCCCCATGTTTTCCTACCTCTATCAAAGAACGCACTAAGCTTTTAACTTATTAGCTCTCTTCTGCAACACAATCTCCTTTTAGTCTCATTAAGTTTCTAAATGGCCAAGTCTGCGCTCCAAGTCTCGAGCCTTCTGCCTCAGCCTTCCGAGTGCTGGGTTCACAGGTGTGAGCCACCACGCCCAGAACTGAGGACAGGATTCCCAGACCTCTGCAGACGAGGACCAAAACAAAACGTCTTGATTTCAGAACACAAATCCTTCCCACCGCTACCAAAGCTCAACCCGGAGGCGCGAAACAGGCACATTGCCAGTGGTCCAAGGTTCCTCCGTACTTCCGCCTCGACCACGCCCACCGCCGGGCGCGCCGCGAACCAGGCTAACAGGAAGGGGCGCCTCCACAGTCCGACGGCCGGACTACAAGGGCGATCAGAGGGCTAGTGCGCGTGTGCAGAGCAAACGGGCCAAGCGATCAGACAGGGGAGGGGACAGGATAAGACGACCACAGATACTGGAACACTCTACAAGAAGTAGGATTGAGAGAATGGCAGGCTTCACCCAAACTCTGCGCCTCTTGTCACTTACTCCGATCACTTCCCAAAATACAGGGTCAGAGGCTTGCGTCCATCAGCGCTTTCCGTCTCCCGATCCTAGAGTCGTGGTTATTTCACGTCATACGCCAAAGCGACACCGTTCGTTGTCGCCTTCGGGAGGAAGCGCCCACTGGTCAGGCGTACATCAATGACGTCATAAACCAGTGCCGCTTCCGGGGGTGGGGCATGGGAGAACTGCTGGTTGAGGAGGCTCGCCACCAACGAAGAATTTGATTGGTGGGTGGAAAGGGCGGTTTCGGCCGAGATGGAGTGAGGCTGGTTAAATAGTGGGTCTTCCTCTGGTGCGGTCTCGGGTTGATGACGTCACGCTCGTTGGCGGGAGAAGTTCGAAAGTGGATGTGGTGCAGTGATATGAGGTGAAATGAGGTTTTTCTCCGTTTTTAGCGGAGGAAGGGTGGAGAGGCAGGGGGACTTGAGCGACTTGTAGCAGAGTGACATAGGAGTCTGCTCTCCAAGAAGCCGGCTGCGGAGTGAGTTACTTGGACCCGAGAATGAGGCGGTGGTGACGGCCTCTGCCTGGCAATTCGCTTTGTAGTTTCTTTTGGTTATCTAGGTTGATTTCTGGACAGAATGTTGCCATACTGATTCCGAAGCATTTATATATGAGTCACTTAGGGACTGAGGGTTTGGTTCGAAAATCCTGCTTGTTGAAAAACAAAAAACCGGGCCGGAGATTTGGCCCAGCAGCATGAGCGCCTGCCTGGCAAGTGCGAAGTTGCGAGTTCGATTCACGGTTTAAAAAAAAAAAAAAAAAAAAAGGACCCAAAATATGTAGTTATAATTGTCATTTTACTAAAGTCACGGGCGTAATATATTTACATTATAGACAGCTAATTTAGGAAATACTGTGGGCAGTCAGACAGGGCTAGGCCTTCGGGGGAGTCCATGCAAAAGATGAGAGCACATTCCAATTGTGGCTGCAGGCGCATCTGTTGGAGACCGGGCCTCAAGATAAAGGGGAAATGACCAGGCCTGCAGGCCTCCTCAAGGGATAAGCAACACATTAACATCAGGCGTCCTGGTGGGTGGCCGGAACTTCCTGGTTCCTCTCTTCCTAAAAACTTTTTTTTCCTAAAAGTTTCTTGTTCTTTCCATATACTCTTGCCCCCCATTGGGTCAACCGTACTTAAGCGGCTAAACTTGTAATCTTACCGGTTGATCGTGATTTTTTCCCCGTATTGTACCTCGCGATTTTGCTCTATAAAAGTTACTCTGTAAAGTAGGATCCGCGGCAACCCATTTTTTGGGTCCTTTCCTATAAGGAGCTAGCGTGATCTATCTCAATAAATATTTCCTACTCTTTCTCTCTTTTTTTCTTTTGGTACCAGGAATTAGATTGCTAGGAGGGTGCAGTGCCGCTGAGCTATGTTCGCAGCCCTATTACCTCCTGCTCCTAACCTCTATTGTTACTTAGAATTTATTCTTCAGTTTTGGGGAATGTAAACTTGCTGTATCTGAGATCCAGCAGTTTGGGAATTACATTTTTTTTCTCCTATATCATTTATAGCAGCACAGTAATCTATATGCATAGGTGTACGTGCATGTAATCTGTACCTACGCAATTACTGCAGAACATCTGGTCTACACCACCTTACTGTAATTTTATTTTTTTATACTACTGGGATTGAACTAGGGCCTTCACACTGACCTACATCCTCGGCCTATTTTATTTTATTTGGTTACAGGATTAAGACAGAGTTTCTCTAATTACTAAATTGCCCAGGCTGGACTCCCAACTTGTGACCTTTTTGTCTCAGCCACCCAGTGCTGGGATTACATGCCCAGCTCTCTACAACACTTTAAAACTTCTTTGTATATTAATCATTCACCTACCAGAGATAGGTAAACACTTTGGTTGTCAGAGGGCTGTGGACAGGTGAACACTTCCAGAAAATTTTATATCCTGTGCCTCTTACAGTGCTGTTCTCTAAAACCATTTTTCTTGTTTAATGGTAAGACAGGGAAAGACAGAGGGGCTGAGAATTTAGCCCAGTGGTAGAGTTTTTACCTAAAGTATTCAAAGCTCTACAATTATGTATCTGAGTGTCTTATGTGGATATAAAAGTAATATCTATATTGTAATATTGTAAGCATTTTAATAGTTCTGGCATATAGTTGTACTGAATAAAGTATCTGATGGTAAAGAACCTAATATTAATAACTGTCACATGCCAAACATTATGTCCACATTATACACGTTTGTATTCACAAAATACCCGGCCCATTCTAGGGCAGGAAGCAAATTGCTCCAGAAACGCCAAGGGTACATTTCTTTGAACTCTCATTCTCTTCTTAGGATTCTTAGGCATCTTGCAGTTCCCATTGGCTGAAGGAGAGAGGTGTAGACAGAGTTATGTTTCTCTGTGTGCCTGGATCTTGTCTTGTGACCTGTGTCCTATGTCCTGGAGTAAGCATACATATCTCATTTGGCTCTTTTTTTTTTTTGTACCAGAACTTGAACATAGGACCTCATGCTTGCCAAGTAGGTGCTGTGATGCTGAGCTACATTCCTGGCCCCACATACCTCATTTGCCTAGCTCTTATCCCATGTTGTCTACATTGAGCAGCCAGTGTGATGTTTGTAAAATCTAGGTCAGGTCATGTCTCACTATGTAATCCTGGCTGGCCTCAAACTCAAAGTGGTCCTCCTGCCTCAGCCTCCTGAGTGCTAGGACTACAGGCAGGCACCACCACACCTGGCTGTTGTATTCTTAAAATCTTTCCACAGCTTTTTATTATCTTCATGGAAAGTCCAGACGCCTGAGCAGAGCAAATCCAAATACTGCTGAATTTAGCCTCACACTGTTAACACTTTCCTTGTGCCTGGACTATTTATGATTCCTAAGTGGCCTCTGCTTCCTGTTTGGGAAGATCAGCTTTCCTTACAGCTTCTGTGTTCTTCCCCTGAGGAAGTTAGGTTCCATGTCCTAGCTAGACAAGGTTGGGTCTCCAGCTGGTGCTTATTCCCAGCTTCTTAGTGTAGTTAATGTTCATTGCTCTGCTCTGCTGAAAACTCCTAGAGATCAGGGATAGCATTTCATTCACTTAATATCTCAGCCTAGCACAATGTCACATTTAGTAAGAACTGAACAAACACCTCTAATTTCTAAATAGTATGTAGGTGATGTGTCTTATAATGAGGAAGTGATAGTTTTATTGAATCCCTCTAAGTGGTTAGGGCTGTGTTCTCAAACTTGCCTCTGTGTCGTCATCACTCAGAGGGCTTGTTAAAGCACAGACTACTGAGCCCCAGTTCTAAGCTTTATGATTGCTGAAGAGTAGAACCTAAAAATGTTCATTTCTTTCCGGTTTCTACGTAACATTGTTGATTCAGGTGTCATATCTTTTGGACCGCTTCAGGGGGAAAAAAAAAGACTATAAATATAGCTGGGTATAGAGGCATATGTTTATAAATTCCAGTATTCTGGGAGGCTGAGGCAGGAGGATCTCAAATTTGAACTCAGCCCAGGCAATTTAATGATTTAGTGAGTTATTGTGTCAAAATAAGTAATGGGATGTTTATTATTATTATTATTATTATTATTATTATTATTTTTGTGGTACCTTGTGCCTGCAAGCCACGATCAAACCCAGGACCTTGTGCATGCAAGCCAAGAGTTGTACCACTGAGCCACATCGCTAGCACTCAAAATAAGAAATAAAGAAGGCTTGAAGATGAAATTCAGTGTAAAGGTCTTAGGTTCAATCTCCAATACAAAAGAAAAAGATGCATAGTCTACCTCTGTCTTTGTGTTCTGCGTCTATAGAGCCCAGAATATTTAGAATTTTTCTTGTCACCATTCCCTGAGCAAGCCAGGATAGTAACTGAAAGGACTTTGCCATACATAGGACACTACAGCAGTGAGAGACGGGACCAAGGGACATTTACCTTGAGGTCATTTTCCCCACCCCTAGGCAATTTACCTGTGGCACGAAATGAATTCCAATGGGCTGCTTGGGTGTCAGCCATGCCCCTGTAGGCACCACCCCAGACCAAAGCTATATGTGTGCCCCCCACACCACGTGTCTGGCAGAGAAAGCCAGACGCCGGCGATCATGGAGTTTCTTTCCACATCCTTAAAATAAAGGCCACTTTCTATTCTGTCTTCTAACCGTGTGGAAAATCCTGTGAGTAACTATTTGCATATTGCTTCTTTGTAATAGATGTTTTAGTGGTCTAGACTTGATTTAAAGTATACAGGAGGGTGAGTGTACATTATATGCAAAACACACTTTTATATGAGGAACTTCAGTGCCTACAGATTTTGGTCCTGTGTGGGTGTGGATGTGGGTCCTGAAAGCAGTGCCTCAAGTGAATGGACATTGGAAACACAAGGGGGCCATCTTGTGGCCACTGTAGAATCCTGAAAACTTAAAAAAACTATTTGGGTTGTAAGGAGTCAAACTTGGAAACAAATCCGCACAGCTAGGAACATACCACAGTGACTGCAAGAACATGTGCAGACCATTAATTAGTTTGTGCAAGCTTGTAATCTCAGCACTCGGGAGGCTGAGGCAGGAGGACTGCTGTGAGTTTGAGGCCAGGCTGGGCTACAAAGTGAATTCAAGGCCACCCTGAACTGCACAGTCAAACTCTTATCTCAAAAAGGAAAAAGAAAGGGACAATTTCTAACTGACGTAATTCTTTTTATTAGGGCTGAGCATTCTATGTCATCTTTCATTTTAGGTAGTATAAATACTTGATGATTTTGTGGATCTGACTGGTTTATAACTTCGGAAGAAACAATGGAAAGCCAAGAATTTATTGTAAGTCTTACTAATTTTCACTCTTCTCCCCCATTTTTGTTTTTGGTGTACTAGAGATTGAACCCAGTGCTTTTGCCCCGAGCTGAGCCCTGGCCCCTCTATATTTTGTGTTTTGTTCCAGGTCTCCTGACTGCTGTGCTCTTCGCCTCAGCCATGCCTACTCCATCTGGCTGCTCCTCCCTTTTTCTTACTTTCTGATGTTTTCCCCAACATAGCAGGTGCTAGATTCAGTTTGAATTCCATAATTAATAATTTTCCTGAAGAAATATGTCCCAAATAGTTCACTATATTTATCTGGCAAGTCTATCTTTTACCTATGATTCATATTTATTGTACAATAAATCATTTGTAACTGGGGACCAGGAAACACCTTTTTGTTTCAAAGATCAGTTTGCTTCTATTCTGAGAGTGGTTCTCACATTTCTTTGGTCTTAATACCCTTTCATATTCTTCAATACTTAGGACCCCAAAGTAGTTTTGTCTGTGGAGCTTAACTGATGTTATGTTTAAAATTAAAACAGCCTGAGTGTGGTGGTGCATACTTGTAATACTTATAATCTCAGAGCAGCGGTACATACTTATTAATCTCAGAGCTCTGGGAGGTTGAAGCAGAACAGTCACAAATTTGTGCCCAGATTAGTGAGACCCTGTATTAAAATAAAAAAGTAATTTGAAAAAATAAGAGAAATGTAATGCAGGCTGGCCTTGAATCTATGTGGACGTCCTGCCTCAGCCTCCTGAGTGCTGGGCTTATTGATGTGTCACCATGTCTGGCTCCCTTCCAGTTTATGACTTGGAAGCTTAAAATTATTTTTGGTACTCAGTTCTATTTTCAATTTCTTCTTTAGTATTTTTTTTTAAAGAAGGGCAGAGTGCATACTAGGTAAGTGCGCTGCTACTAACTGCACCTGGCCTCTTCTTTAGACTTTACCTGCCTTTTCTGGCTTATCCATGTCTTTTATTACCCAGCTAAGAGGCCTTCTTCATTTGTTTTTATGGAGTTAGGGACTGAATCTAGGGATGCTGAGCCATATTCCCAGCCATTGTTTTTGAAGATGCAGTCTCACTAAGTTGCCTAGACTGGGCTTGAACTTGTGATCCTCCTGCCTCAGCCTCCCTGAGTCCTGAAATCACAGGTGTGCACTACCCACCCAAGTTGAACATTCTTTCCTGTTGCTAAGCATTGAACTCAGAGTTTCACATGTGCCCAGCACACAATCACTCAGCTACACATCAGTATCCTCTGTCCATTTGTCTGTTCTTTCCTTCCTTCCTTCCATTTTCATTCATTCATTCATGTTATTGTTGTCATAATACCTGTGCTTTACTTTTCATGAGAGATGTTTTAAATATTTCTTATATGTAGGAAAGTTATACAAAGTATATAACCTTGAATATTATCAACTAAACTATTATTTACTTTTGTGCTTTGGGAAATCAGGTCCTGTATACTCATCAAAAGATGAAGAAGGCCAAAGTGTGGCAAGATGGAACCCTGAAGCTTGGTCCTGCAGGAAGCAAGGTACAGCACAGTGGGCTGCAACCTGAGGGCCATTGTCCCTCACGCTGGTGTATGTAGCTGATCTGGTGTCTGCTGTGTCTCTGTGCTTGGCGGCACGCACAGATTTCCATGAGTTTCTGTCCCAGTGGTTACCTTGTGCATTATAAAAGCCCCACATTTTATTTCTTTTCCTTTTTTTTTTGTACCAGGAATCGAACTCACAACCATGCTTGCCAGGACATTTTATTTCTTTTTTTTTTTTTTAACTTTTTATCGGTACCAGAGATAGAACTCATGACCGCCTGCTTGCAAGGCAGGTGCTTATGCCGCTGAGCTAAATCCCCAGCTCCTATTTCTTTTGACTAGAAAACTTACATAGCCAGGTGCAGGCTCCATGGCAGGCAGGCCTTGAGTGTAGTTCCTGTGTAGTGTCTGTGGCTCTTCTGCGAGTGAGAAATGGATTTTGTTTTCCCAAGAAGGAAACAGATGCACAGAGAGGAAAAGCAGCTCACTCAGGATCTCAGAGCTAGGACGTGCAGGGTCAGAGACAAACTGAGCTCTTTTGTCTCGAGAGCCCGTGTCTTAACTATGTCTCTCTGTTTTTGAGATGAGGTCTTGCTGAGTAGCCCAGGCTGGCTCATGGTGATAGATGACCTCCTGCTTCAGCCTTCCAAGCAGTGGAATCACACCATTTCTCTCTTAATTTTACTAATTTAGAAAAAGGGCTATCACAGAGGGGCTTCTATGACGTCACAGGGCACACACCAGTGGCATCCATATTCCTCCTCGAGCCACGAGAGTTCCCCGAGTCTGCTTCTCTGTCCAACTGCAGCTGTGGTTACCACGGAGGGGAGCTTTTCAGGACAGGAGGCTTTTGTGACTATTACGTGTTTATTAAAACAGTAAAAACCTGACAAACTAGTTTTATCTTAAGCCTTCAAGTTCTTTTTTTTTTTTTTTTTTTTTTTTTTTGTCTTTTTTGAGACAGGATCTCGCTATGCAGTTCAGACTGGACTTGAGCTCACTTTGTAGCCCCGGCTGGTCTTAAACTCTCAAGGATCCTCCCACCTCAGGGCTGGGATTACAGGCGTGAGCCACCACGCCTGGCTAGCCTTCATGTTCAATTTCTGTAAGCCTGTTAAATTTATTTATTTAATTAATTTTCATTTTAATTTTTTGGTTTTTTTGGGAAAGGGTCTTGCTGTGAGGTTCCAGCTGACCTTGAACTCATTGTGTATCCCAGACTAGCCTCAAACTTGCAGTGATCGTTCTGCCTCAGCTTTCCAAGAGCTGGGATTACAAGATTACACCACTATATTTGGTGCTCACTGCTTTTAAATAATCTGTCTATTAATAGGTATAATTTACCTTAAACATTGTAAGTTAGATTTCTAAATTTAATACATTTGATTCTCTTTTTTTTAGCATTTTAGTTGCTCCTACAAAAATTCCCTAGGTACCTGAACCAATCTGGTAGCTCTGATAAATTGAAGTTCTGAGCTGGGCATGATGGTACACGCCTGTAATTCTAGTACTCATGAGGCTGAGGCAAGAGGATCCTTGCAAGTTTGAAACCAGTTTGGGCTACAAAGTGAGCTCAAGGCCAGCCTGAACTGCATAGTGAGACCCTGTCTCAAAAAGACAAATAGAGGCTGGGGATTTAGTTCAGTGGCATAAGCGCCTGCCTTGCAAGCAGGCAGCCGTGAGTTCGATCCCCGGTACCGATAAAAAAGAAAAAGACAAAAATAAACAAACAAAACAATATATGTAATCACTACATACATATCACAAATCTCTTTCAAAATGCAAAAATTCACTTTTATAGTTAAAAATAATACACAATATGATTGCCAAATTATAAAACCTATTCATGATTCTAATTCAGAAGTATTGATATTTTTGGTTTGAATTACTTGATTATGGCCATGTGCAGTTTATTATGTCCCAGGAATTTAAAAGTACTTTCCCATCGAATAAAGGAAATGTTCCTACTCTAGGTGAATTGGAGCCGTCACATCAGCTAACCCTGCGGCTCTGACATTTAGGCTGGGCCTGTACCTCAGCTGTGGGTGATCAGGGTGGCTCTAGTGGCCATCCTCAAGGGCGTGCTGAGCTGCCTTCCTATGTAGCACCAGCGGGAGCACCCAGTCTGCCACTGTCTGTCTCAGAGAGGAGAGCCTTGAGGATGTTCGCCTCACTATCCAAGACCTGTCACCTGGGCGTGGTGGTCCACTCAGGAGGCTGAGGCAGGAGGATGGAGTGTTTGAGGGCAGTTTGGGCTAATGATAGTAAGACTCTTTCAAAAAAAAAAAAAAAAAAATATGGCGGGGCTGGGGATTTAGCTCAGCGGCATAAGCACCTGCCTTGCAAGTGTGCGGTTGTGAGTTCGATTCCTGGTACCGAAAAAGACCAAAAAAAAAAAAGGCATGTCATTCTTTAATTTTCCTCTTTGAATAGGTGAATAGAGGAATGTCTAATCCTGTGCACATCTCTATTTTTAAAATCATGTTTCACATTAATCAGTTATTCTGATTATTCATGTTCTGATTATTAGTATCACTGATGCTAGTTATTTAATTAATTTTTTAATTTATAGTCTTCTTTGGAGACAAAGCCTTTACCATCTGAGCGATATTTAGAAGACATCTGATTGGATGTTGTATGTCTTTTGGGTTTTCCTCTGGTTCTGAATCAGAACGTTCTCATATTACCATTATTATACAACTCCAGTATACCTCTGTCCAGTGGCATTATGTGCCTGGTAGTAGTTCAAAGCAGTCTTTAAAATTTGCTGTGATGCAGGAGAGCTTAGCCTCTCACTGTTCCTTAAATAACATTCTGATTCCTGCATCTGAGCTGTTGCCAAAGTAACTCCCTTGCTAGTAGCATCTTTTCTTTGTTTACCCAAGTCTTGTCAGGTATTTGTTTTTCGTTAATCAAAACAAATATTGCCATAGACCATGGAAATGTCTAGGAAGACACCTGGGAGACTGGAGCTGACTGGTTGATGCTAAGTGTCCATCAGGCCTTAGAGTCCACTCTGGTCGCTGCTTAGCTAATTGTCTTCCCATGGCATGGCTGGCACGTGCAGCAGGCTGGGTTGGACAGACCATGGACTTTCTGGGCACAGCACGGAAGAGACTCGAGGGGCGACACTGTCTTTTCCTTCTAGGAGCCATGTGTAGCTGGAGTAATGTGCGCTAAAGCCCCTCAGTCTCTGATTTGTACAGATGATGTTGCTCGTGGAGAGAGTGGAGAATGAGGAGACCAGGATAGAGCTGCAGGAAATACCAGCTTAAGAATCATTTTATTGAGATGCAGTCCACTCCCTTTTACTTTACCCATTCAGTGATTTTTAGTGTGTGCTCAGTTTTGCACATCATAGATGCAACCAAAATGTAGCATGCTTCTGTCACTGCAGAAGAAATCCTGTACCCATTAGCCATCACTGTTCAGTACTCAGTCCTTAGCCTCTACCCTGAGCAAGGATGAATCTACTGAAGTTCTCTATGGATTCAGCTATTCTGGATATTTCACATAAATGGGATTATATGTAGTCTTTGTGAGAAGGTTTTAGTAAACATATTTTCCTGGTTTATGTTGAAGCACATATGGATACTTCATTCTTTTTTATTGCTGAATAATATTTCTTTATGCAGATTTACTGTATCTTGTTTGTTTGTTTGTTTATTTATTTGTTACTGGAAAGTGAACTCATGACCTCTGCTTGCCAGGCAGGTGCTTGTGCCACTGAGCTAAATCTTCATCCCCTACTTAAACCCCTAAAGTGGTTTAACCTACCCACTTTGTTGACATATGTTTAGATTAGCCCATTTTGGGGTTATTATAAATAATGCTGCTATGACCATTTTTGTGCAAGTTTTTGTGTAGATATTTTTTCTATTGTGTTTGAAAGAGTTTTCAGCGTGATAAAAGAGAGAATATAAAGTAAAAATAGGCTTTTTCCAAGGACGTGGAGAGAAGTCCATGATCACTGGTGGCCTGGCTTTTTCTGGCAGAACATGGGTCATGGGATATACATAAAATCTCTGACCAGGCTGGCACTTAGGGCAGGCATTGATGAGGCATGAAGAGCTGAATGGAATTTTCTCTGTGCGCAAACAGGAAGGGGAGTTCCAATAAGACTGAGGAAGAAGCAGGAAGTGGTAGGTGTTCCCACTTTGGCCTTCTGCCAGATTAGACCACCGCCATAATTTCTAGTAAGGCAAGAACTTTTCATTCCTGTCTTTGTATTGTTAGGAAAAGGGCAAAGTCTCTGTCTTACTATTTCCTGCTGAAAGGGGGTGCTGTATTGGGGTTTAGGAGGGTTGATGGGATGACAGTTGATGCCCATGTAGAAGCTGGTACCAGGTGTTTTAGCCAGGACAGCTTTATCATCGGTGAATGCCCAACTGTTAGACTGGAAAATGTTAGAGACAAGGTGCTATGAGGAAGCAGGCCACTATCATGTTTAAGGACCCAGGTGAGGTAGAAGGAAAGGTGTCTTTAAGTAAGCCATTCCATCAGGACCACCCATGAGGTAGAATTCTGAAAAGTAAGTGTGGGGTTAGGAGGAGTGAAGTTATAAGAAGTAATTATTTTTTTTTATCTGAAAGGGTAAAAGTTAAAAGTGTAGGTAGGTAGGGCTTGTCTCTGGTCTTGGAGTTGAGCTGGAAAGAATAAGAGGCATGAGAAGTATAAGGCCTGCTTGAATCTTACTTGGGAAGTTACAGAGTAGAGGAGGGGAGGGCCATGGCTGTGTCACTATAAGGGAGATAAGAGCCTAGGCCCACAGGGATCTCATGTTTGACCAAATAGCTGAGGGTAGAGAGAACTAAGACAGTTGTCATGTAGAGCAACAGGACGATTTTATGCATGATGCGGGAGTCTTTAGGAAAGACTGTCAAGAGTCTCCTGCTGTAAAAAATAATTAATAAAATATAGGGAATTAGGAACCAAATTGGATAACAAAGCATGACTTAGCCTGAGAGTTGTGGCTGTGAAGCCTTGGTGAGATGGAG